AGTAGATTCAAGCACTTGGTGGGGGGAGAGAGAGAGAGGGAGAGAGAGAGAGAGATTGAGAGAGATCAATTTGTTTTTATTGGACATTGCAGTAATCTATCTTTTGGGGTCCAAAGGGACCCCATATATTTCACTGGTCACTGTGCATGACCACCTTTACCAAACAGCTTCTGGACTCTCCTTTTCTCTGGTCAGTGACCTCAAATAATGGAGAGACTATTTTGTTTTGGGGGTAGTCACACATTTTCCTTGTTGTTGGTACACTGAAGCATTGTCTCATTTTATCTTGCTGATGCAGCTAGGAAAAATCCATAGGCAACTGTAATGTCTGTTCATCATGAGAAAATATCCATTCATATCAGTGCCCACCCATGTCTCTAAATCAAAGAACAAGGACCACAGTCCCGTGGATCCACCTTCCCAACTATCAACGAAACATTTTGGACCCTCCATAGAAACTTCCCTCTTCTGAGTGACATTATGAATGGGTTGAATTTTGTAGGTGAAAATGATCTCCATTAAGAACTATGTTCCTTTTTGCTGGTTTGTTTTTGCCACGTGATGCTCCCCGGTTGCATCCCCGAGAACTTAAGGCACACCACTCAGCCCCGAATTCCCTACAAAAGTGAACCAAACAAATGAGCCTTATGAAATGAAAGAAAGATATCCAAGCAAGAAATTTCAAACTTAAAGTTTATTATGAAAGAGAAAGGAGGAAAGGCACTGCTGCGAAGTCCAAACCCTTGTCCAAGCCCTCAGTAAGTGTTGCCGTGTTCAGGGTCTTGGTCCAGCAAGCTCATCTACAGCAAAGCTTGTATATTCGTTTACCGACAGTACAGCGTCCTGTCTCTCGCTCTTGGGACCTGCAGGAGAGACCACGGGCGCACCTGCAGATTTTTCTTCCACCTAGTTCTGCAGAGAGAAGAGGAGGGTCAGGCTCAGGGGGAATGGGGACAGGGAAGAGGCATACCCGACCTCCAGAGGATCTTCTGAAGGTCACCCACCTGTCTACTAACAGTAACGAGGACCTGCCTGGTTAAGGTGAAGGGATTCCCAAATTTGTCGTAAATCATGAGACAGCTCACTGGCTCTGTGCGGTCATGCAGGACCGTGACTTTCTCTGATCCTAGTCTATGACACATATGCTGATATCCTTAGTCTTGCCACATAACTTCCTCCTAAACTTGGGGTACCTACTCTTCACCCTAGCTCATTGACACATTCCATTCTGAGCTCCAACTTTACATGCCCTCTCACAGTCTCCTTTAAGGTCCCGACCCAACAGCATGGGGGCTGGTGTCTCACTTGTAGCTGCCCGAGCGTAGCGGTCCATTTCCGGGAAGGCGATGGCCATGTCCTCATCTTCGTCCTCAGTGGAACCCATGTCATCTCTCTTTTCCATGGTCTGAGCCTGAGCCAGGAAGGCCAAGAGAAGGGCAGCGAGGAGAACAAGAGTCCTCATGGCTGAGGGTCCCTGGAGGTCCAGGTCGTGTGGGAGGAAAGAACAGAGTGGTGGGGAGGGCCCAGGCAGCCTGAACTTATATGTCAGGTGGGAGGAAGCTCGGAGCTTCCTGGGCAGTGAGAGCGAGAGGCCGGGCCTTCGGCTGGCTGGGAGCCAAAGCTGTCGTCACCATCAGCGTCTCTAGATCCTCCTGCTCCTGCCCCTTCATCAGAGCATGCCTGTGTGAGCTGAGTGTCCACACTTGTTTCACGTTGATAGTGGTGATAAGGACCCAGGTATGGCGTCTGTTCCCATTTGCCTGGGTGTTTACTTTCTCATGGTCAAAAGGGACAAGAATCTGTGCTCTTGGTGAGTGCCTCAGGGGACAAAGGCCCCTTCTTCCTGCTGCTGGGCTCTGCTCATCTGAGGCCTGACCCTGGGCGCAGACCTTCCCAGTGGAGTTGGGGGTCCCCCTGCATGTTCAGGGGCATCACTGCCCTGTGAGGGAACTTTTCATGTCTTGGGTGGTGGCTCCTATGTGGGAGGGGACAGTGACTTGGGCTCAGGTGAAGTGGGGCAGAGGGAAGGATCTGGTCAGAGCAAAGTGACGGACAGGTTTGTTTCAGGACGTCAGTGGGACGTGTGCAAATCGTGTACCCGCTCAGCAGTCACCTGCGTCCTTGTGGGGAAACAGCAAACACACCCCCCATGTTCCTGCAGCTCCTTCCGAAATCTGTCATCTTAAAAACAAATCATGCAGGAAAGACTAACTTCTAAATGTAGCAGAGAGAAGAGTGGAAATAACAGTCTCCTTTCCCAGTGCCAGCCCCCCATCTTTTCTGCAGGAACCCTTATGGTACCCCCCGCCCCCCACCCCCGGTCCTGTGTGTGCTCACTCAGCCCGGGCTTCATCTCGAACACGGCCACGCCGGCACGTACAGAACGGCCTCACTGTTTGTATGGCGTCCGTCACACTGTCCTAGCCCTTTACCGGTCCTCATTGAACTATTTTGTATTGCTCATTAAGTTCTTCAAGTTTAGTTATTTCTGAACACTTACAGTAACTAGCATAATGGCAATGAGTGTTTTTCTACCTACATCATCTTTATTATTCGTGACAGTGATTTAGATGATTCCTAGATGTAGATTGTGCCGACGAAGAACACATCTTATACATTTAACAGACATCAATTTATTGTCCTCTGCAGAGGTCGCCCCCCACCCCAACACTCATCAAAATAAAACGAGCCCAAGAGTGTCCCATGCACAGCCAAAGGTGTTTAAAAGACTGGATGATTTCCCAAATCCGTCATTCTTTTTAACTGACTAGGTTCTGGGCAGCAATGTGCTTTGTTAAAAACACACTTGAGGCCTGACTGGTGCGGCTCAGTGGACTGAGTGCCATCCTGCAAACCAAAGGGTTGCCAGTTTGATCCCCAGTCAGGGCACAGGCCTGGGTTGCAGGCCAGGTCCCCTGTAGGGGCCACGTGAGAGGCAACCACGCATGGATGTTTCTCTCCCTCTCTTTCTCGCTCCCTTCCCCTCTGTCTAAAAATAAATAAGTAAAATCTTTAAAAAAACACACTAGATCTCTCACACTCTCTTGCAGCTGAGTGTGGCCAATAAATAGAGTTTTAATACTATGTAACCCCAGGGAAGGGCACCGCAGTTACATCATTAAATCAATGACTGCCACTGCCTCACAACTGCGCTACGTTATTGTTTTACATTTTTCTCCCCATTTTTGCCTGGAGGACGGGAGGAGTTCAAATGGGCGGCTGTACTGTGACCGTGAAGAGAACAGTGACTCCATGTGGATGGTGGATGAGGAAGATGCGAGATGCCTGCCCTTGAGGTCAAGGCTGAGCCATGTCACCCGCCTCCCGAGATGCCCACATTGAGATTGTTGTGATGTGGGAAAGAAAGTGCTCCTGAGTTTCCACAGCCACTGGTGGTTGAGGGGCTGGGTCCTGGTGGTGGCTGGAAGCAGCCTGAGCCCTGGACCATGAGCGTTTGGGTCTTTCCCAACCTGACAGGTAAGAGTTGCACCGTCTTCCACATGAGCCCCAGCGGAGTCCTGACTGTTTCTCTCAGGTGTCAGGAGCAGTGCGTGTTCATCACTAAGATGGTCCTGTATTTTACTCTCTCTGAGTGTCCTTTCCATTTGGCATTTGTTTGGGAGATGTAATAGTTGGCCAATTTATTCATACTGATTCTTAAGATATAATTATAAATTTAGGCTATTAGCTCTTTGTCCCAAGTACTTCAAATCATTTCCAGATTTTATCATTTCTCTTTTGGCTTTGTCCCTTTTCTACAGAGATACTTTGGATTTTTACGTAGTTTTAAAATTCCTTTTTAGTTATTTTTTTTTCACTTTGTGTCTTTCCCTCTCAGTTTGTAAAAGTTAGTGCTTGTCTCTTCGTGGTGGAACCTAAGAGGGCCTCTTTGATTCTAAAGACTTAACGGAAACTCTTCGTTGTTCTTGGTCTTTTCAAGGAAAAATTTTTCAGAATAGAAAGGCCACAGGACAGAGATCAAGTCAATGTCATTACCAGCACAGCACAGTTTCAGGGTAGAACATGGGGTCATGGCCGTACGGATGCAGGTGGCCCCTGTGGACGTGGGAGGGGGAGGGGAGAGAGATGCCCGTGTTCTGGAAACCAGGCCCCTGTGCATCTCAGCTGGTACACAGCAGCCTGCCTTTCAGGCCACGAGGGCAGGGCCTGTCATTAGCCTCATGAAAAGCCTAGTTCTTAGGAGAATATTACTAAATTTAGAGCAGGTTAATTGTAATTAGTAGAATCGATCTCTTTAAAGAGAAAAGGTTGATACCAAACCTTTCACTGGACACAAAATGCTCAAAACAGGGACCATTTATTTTACTGGTCACTGGGCATGACCACCTATAGTGACCAGCTTCTGGACTCCCCTTTTTCTCTGGTCATTTTAGAAGACCATCGATGCTGGTCAGTGTATTCTGTTTTTGTTGTAGTTCTTATTTTTTCTTAATGGTGGCACAATGAAGCATTAGTTCACTGTATTTTGTCCATACAGCTAGGAAAAATCTATAGGTCACTAAAACCCCTGCTTATGATGACAACATGTCTATACATGTCAATATTCTTCCACTTCACATTAAGGAGAGAATAACACAGCCCTATGGATCCACCTTTCCTCCTAACAACAAAACATCTCGGACACTCCATAGACACAGTTCTTTTTTGAGTTTCATTATGAATGGGTTGTATTTTGAAGATTAAATTGTCTTAATGAAGAACCATGTTCCTTTTTGATCATTTGTTGTTGCTGTGAGATGCTCCCCTGTTGCATCCCTGAGACGCAAAGGCTGGTCACCTTGGTGTAGACCATTCAGGACAGAATTCTCTGTGCAAGTGAACCACACAAATAAACCATGCACAACAGAGGACAAAAAGCCCAACAGTGAGTTTAACACTTGCAGTTTATTATGGGGAGAGAAAGAAGGAAAGGTACAGGTAAAAGACAAGGTTGGTCTTCAGTGGAATCTCACAGTGCCTCGGGTCTCAGTCCACAAAGCTCAGGGACAGCAAAGCTTGGATTTATTGCCATACACCTTGCAGCTCCCATACTGTGTCTCCTGCACCCGGCAGGACTGTCCTTGTCGGCATGTGCAAGTCTGTTTTCTGAAATAGCCTGGAGAGGGATGAGGACAGGGAGCAGAGGCTCAGCCGGCCTCGTGCAGATCTCCCGAGAGGAGACCTGTCTGCTCACAGCAGACAGCACCTGCCTGGCTTGGGTGAAGGGATTCACAAGTCTGTCGTAACTTACCAGGAACCTTACTGGCTGTGTTCAGCAGGATTGTGATTTTCTCTGACCCTAGTCTGTGATGTAAAAGCTTATACTCTGTGCCTTGTCCAACACCCTTCTTCTGAACTTGGGGCGCCTACTCTACCCCCCTAATCACACAGCCCAAAATGAGCCTTGATTCCACATCCCCTCCACAACCTCTGTAAAGGGCCGCCAACCCTAACTGCATGTCGGTGGGTGTCTCACCTGCAGCCTCTTTATTGCGGCGGTCCTCTACTAGGAACCTGATGACCACACCCTGGTCCTCAGTCCCAGACTGGCCTTGGCCCTTGGCCTTAGCCTGGTAATGGTCCTGGTCCTGTTCATCCATTCTATGCTTGGTCTGAGCCTGGGCCTGGAAGGCCAGGAGGAGAAGGGCAGCGGGGAGAGTGAGGGTCCTCATGGCTGAGGGTCACTGGAGGTCCGGGTCCTGTGGGAGGAAAGAATGGAGTGGTGGGGAGGGCCCAGCATCCTGTACTTATAGGTCATATGGGAGGAGGTTCCGAGACTCCTGGGCAGTAAGAGGGAGGGGCTGTGCCTTTGGGTGGCCTGGGGCCAAGGCCCTTGTCACCCTCAAAGCCCTTTGATGCTCCTGCCCCTTTATCAGAGCACACGTGTGTGAGCTGAGTGTCCACACTTGACTCAGTTGATAGTGGTGATAAGGGCCCTGGTCTGGTGTGTTTCCCATCTACCTGGGTGTTTACCTTCTGATGGTCAAGGAGGACAAGGAGCCGTGCTCTTGGTGAGTGAGTCAGGGGACAAAGGCCCTGTCTTCCTGATGCTGGGCCCTTCTCGTCTGAGGCCCGACCTGGGGTCCAGACCTTCCCAATGGGGTTGGGGGTCCCCCTGCATGGTCAGGGGCATCACCACCCTGTGAGGGAGCTTTTCAGGTCCTGGGTGGTGGTTCCCATGGGGGAGGGGACAGTGACTGGGGCTCAGGTGAGGTGGGACAGAGGGAAGGAGCTGGTCAGAGCAAAGTGAAGGACAGGCTTGTTTCAGGACGTCAGTGGGACGTGTGCACACTGTGTGCCCTGCTCAGCGGTCACTTGTGTCCTTGTGGGGAAACAGCAAACACGACAACATTCCTGCATCCCCTTCTGAAATTTCTCATCTCACAAAAGATTAAATTCTAAATGTAGAAGAGAAAACAGTGGATATCCCAGTCTCCCTCCTGTCTCTGACTCTTCCTTTCTGTAGGAACCACTTGGCCCCCCTGTGGGGTGTTTGCTTACTCAGCTTGGGCTCTGACTTGAACACGATCACACCAGCACATGCAGAACGGGCCCACTGTTTCTGCAGGGTTATCCACTCCCGGTGATTTCTCTGCCATCATTTAACTCTTTGGTATTGTTCATGAAATTCTTAAAATTTGCTTATTTCTCAGTGTTTGCAGTTAGCAGCATAATGGCAAAGAGTACCTTTTTACCTACATCATCTTGTTTATTTGTGACTGTGTTTCAGGTAGATTTCTAGAAGTACATTGAGGGAACGAAGACTTTATTTTATATATTTAACAAACTCTAATTTATTATTCTCTGTGGGTGCTCTTTTGACATCACTCACCAGAATATAGGAGCCTGATGCATCCCCCACACAGTGGAAGGTGTTTAAAAGACCCCGTGAATTTCCAATATTGTCCTCCTCCCTCCCTCCCTGGGGTGTGGGCAGCAATGTGCTTTGCTACAAAGCCCTTGATGTCTGTGTGTCTCTTGCAGCTGAGAGTGGCCAATGCATGGAGTCCTTGTACAGCCCACCCCCTTGGGAAGGACACTGTATTTAAATAATAAAATCAATTCTGCCGCTGCCTCACATTTCTGCTATGCTAATGCTTTACATTTTTCTCCCCCATTTTTGCCTGGAGGATGGGAGCCGCTCAAATGTGCGGCTGTCCTGTGACCGTGAAGAGAACAGTGACTCGAGGTAGACAGTGGAGCAGGAAGATGCGAGGTGCCTGCCCTCGAGGTCAAGGCTGAGCCATGTCACCCACCTCCTGGGCTGCCTGTGCTCAGATGCTGTGACGTGGGGAAAACACACTCTTGACTTTCTACAGCCACTGGTGGCCGGGGCCCTGGTCCGGGTGGTGGCTGGAAGCAGTCTGAGCCCTGGACCATGAGGTTTTGGGTCTTTTCCAACCTGACAGGTAAGCACTGAACCCCACTGGAGTTCTGGCTGTGTTTCTCTGAAGGATCAGGTACACTGTATCTTCATATCTAAGATGTACGGCGTTTATTCTCTCTGAGTGCCCTTTCTGTCTGGGAAATGGAGTGTTTGGCTGATTCCTTTCTATAGATTTTAAAGATTCATTAATCAGTTTTGGACCTTGCCTTTTTGTCCCATGTACTGCCAATTGTTTGCAGAGTTTATCATTGTTTTCACTTCTTGTCTACATAGAGATTTTGGCATTTTATGTAGTTTTTAAAACTGTTCTTGGCAATTTCTGAGTGTTGTGTCTTTCCCACTGAAGTTTGTAAAGCTCCATCTTCCACGTGTTAGAGCTTTGGTGTCCTAGATGTCGAAGTGGAGTGGGACCAAGGAGATTGATCTTAAAGGAGTAAAATAAAACTGTTTGGCATTCTCAGATGTTTTTTAGGGAAAAGCTCTCATAACATAAGTAGCTGCAGGGCCACAATCACACTGCAGTCACTCTGCATACAGCACAGTTGCAGGGTAGAACTCGGGGTCCTGGCTGTATGGATGCTGGTGGCCCCTGTGGACGTGGGAGGGGGAGGGGAGAGAGATGCCTGTGTTCTAGAAACCAGGCCCCTGTGCATCTCAGCTGGTACATAGCAGCCCGCCTTTTAGCCCAGGAGTGCAGGGCCTGTCCTTGGCATCATTAAAACATATTATTTGCTTTTAAAATTTACTTTTGTAATTTATTTTCCATCCCCATTTCCCTCCATAAATCTTCCACCTTCGCTTATCCCCTCTGTCCTTTGCAATCACCACACCGTTCATTTCCTTGAGCTCTTTCTTTCTTTTTCCTTTTTGCCCCATCCACCACCCCTTTTCCTGGAGCTGTCCACCTGTTCTCCATCTGTGAGTCTGTGTCTCTTCTGCTTGTTAGTTCAGTTTGTTCATTAGATTCCACACACAAATGAGATCATATGGTATTTCTCTTTGTGTGACCTGTTCATTTCACTTAGCATAATGTTCTCCAGGTCCATGTGTGCTGTTGCAAAGTCTAATGTTTTTCCTTCTTTTTATGGCCCAGCAGTATTCTATCGTATAAATGTTGAATGTATTTTATCCTCGTATCTACTGATGGACACTTGGGCGGCTTCCACATCCTGGCTGTTGTGATAATGCTGCAATGAACACTGGGGTGCATATATCCTACCATGTGGTCTTCTGGCTTCTTTGGCTCAGTCTCAGAAGTGGAATTCCTGGGTTGTAAGGCAGAGCCATATGTAATTTTGTGAAGTACCCCATACAGTCTCCTTGAGTGGCTGCAACAATTTGTATTCCCCCAACAATCCATGGGTTTCCTCTTTTCCACAACCTCAGCAATGGTTGTGTGTTGATACATTGTTTATGGCCATTCTGACAGGTGTGAAGTGTCATATGATTGTGGTTTTTAAAAAATATTTTATTGGTTATGCTATTACAGTTGTCCCATTTTCCACCTCTTTATGCCCCTCCACCCTTTATCCCCCCTCCCACCACCAATCCACTACTTAGCTCAAAAAAGATTATGAAAAATATGAACAGTAAAATGACAACAACTCACAACTATGAATAACCAAACCTAAAAAAAAAAAACAAGAACTAAAACAAACTAAGCAAACACTGGAATAGAAATGGAGATCACAGGAGGGTTATCAGCGGGTGGCAGAGAGGGGAGAATGGGAGAAAAGGCACAGGGAAGACGAGGCAGAAATGGTAGGTGGAAAATAGATAGGGGAGGTGAAGAATAGTATAGGAAAAGTAGGAGCCAAAGAACCTACATGTACCACCCGTGGACTTGATTGTGGTTTTAATGTGCCTTTCTCTGATGATTAGTGACATCGAGTATCTTTGCAAGTGTCTGTTGGCCATCTGTATGTTCTCTTTGGAGAAGTGTCTATTCAGGTCCTTTGTCCATTTTTCACTGGTTTGTCTATTAACTGGTTATGTTTTTGATTTTGAGCTTTATAAATTCTTTATATATTTTGGATATTAACCTCTTACCAGTTGTCAGTAAATATATGTTCCTGTTCAGTGGGTCATCCTTGTATATTGTAGACAGTTTCTTTTTCTGTGCAAAATGTTTCTAGTTGGATATAGCCCCCTCAGTTATTTTTTCTTTTGTTTCCCTTGACCAAGGAGATGCACCAGAAAAAATATTACTATGAGCAATGTCTGATATTTTATTGCCTATGTTTTCTTGTAGGAATGTCAGGTTTTGAGTCTAATATGTAAGTCTTTAATCCATTTTGAGTTTATTCTTGTGTTGGCATAAGAAGGTTGCCTAGTTTCATTTTCTTGCACATATCTGTCTAATTGCTTTAACACCATTTACTGAAAAGAGTAACTTGTTGATATAGCTAGGGAAAAACATTCAAGTAACTGCAATTCTTACATAAAATGAGAAAATATACCAACGTACATATGCCCACCCATAACTTAGAATCAAAGAACATGTACCACGGTTCATTGGATCCACCTTCCCAAAATTCAATGAAACATTTTGGACTCTCCAAAGAAACTTCCTTCTTTTGAGTTTCACTATGAATGGGTTGAACTTTGACCATTAAAATCATCTTAAGAATTCTGTTCCTCGTTGCTGGTTTGTTTTTGCCAGGAGATGCCCAGGTGCTGCATCCCTGAGATGCAAAGGCTGGTCACCTTAGTGTAGACCATTGAGGACAGAATTCTCTGTGCAAGAGAACCACGTGGTTAGTCTTATGGAATGAAAGAAAAAAAGCCAAACAGTGAGTTTAATGCTTGAAGTTGATTATGGAAAGAGAAAGAAGAAAAGGCACAGGTAGAAAGACTAAATGCGTGTCCAGGTCTTCAGTGGGGTCTTGCTGTACTGTGGGTCTCAGTCCACAAAGCTCAGCGACAGCAGAGTGTGAATACTTGGCTCAAGATCGTACAGGTTCCAGAGGGACGGCTAGGGGGTAGGCAGCCCCCACGGACACATGAACAGTATGTTTTCTTCCGAAGGCCTACAGAGGGAAGAGGGAGGGCAGGGTCAGGCTCGTGGGGGAAGGAAACAGGGGACAGAGGCTCAGCCAGCCTGATGGAAACCTTCTGAGAGGTGACATGTCCACTCACTGTGGACAGTACCTGCCTGGCCAGGGTGAAGGGATTCACAAGTCTGTCCTAAATCCCAGGAAATGTTACTGGCTGTGTGTGGTCATCCAGGATCGTGATTTTTCTGTGATCCTGGTCTATGTCCCACATGCTTCTATCCTGTGTCTT